AGTGCTGGCCTTGACTCCCCATTCTCCGTTCCTGCCTACCCTGAGCTGGGTGGCTCTGACCCTTCAGCGCTTCCCAAACTCCCTCTCTCTCACCTCAGCCGCCAGCCTTGGCATCATCCCCCTCAGGGGGAGGCCACTCTGAAAGGCTCCATGCTCCTCTCCCCTCTTCACACACAGATTGCTTAGAGGTGACACTGTGCCTCTGATGATCCCCTTATGGTGTGCTTGATGGGCTTTGTGGTGCTTTCTGAGGTCACTTTCTCCCCCCCACACACACACACACACTGCCCTCGGCCTCTTCAATCGGAGGGTGTCAAGGCTCTGCTGCAGAGACTCTGGGCTCCTTGGAGCAAGATCTTTGCACCCCTGGCTGGGGTTTCCATGGCAACCCGGAGATCTTCCCCCACCAGGATCCCCAAGAGTTTGGCCGCCCCCACCCCCACCCCAGAGAAGAGAAAGATTGTTCTGGCCGTACAACTTTGGGCCAAAGCTGCCTTCCTGAGGGCAGGAGGCGCTGTGGGGGCCCAGAGGCCTCAAGGTGGGCCAAGGGCTGGTCGCAGGGCGGAGGGAGTGGAGGTGGGGGGGGGTGAAGCTGTCTTTTCAACATCTGTCTCAGCAGAGTTTCCAGAAGGTTCTCTGCGGAAATAGTCTCTCCTTTCCAAAACGCTTTGTGGCTTTTAACACCTGCTCCTCACAAAGTTTTCTTTTCCATGAAGACACACCTGCCAAAATCTCAACCAAAAAAGGAAAAATAAGAAAAACAAGGAGGGGTTTGGATTATTTTGCCAGAAAACAGGAAATGGGGGCAGAAAGACTGGGTGGGGGGGCTTTCACCTCAACCAAGCTGGAACAAAGGGAGCCCCCAGTCCGATGCCCCACCGGCGGTCCTCGCCCAATGCCTGTCTCCAGCTGGGGTCACACATGGACGGCTACTCTCCTGCCATTCGGGGAGGGGGCGCATTTCCTTCCACACCCTCCCCCCTTCTTGCAAGTGCTGCTCCAAGACCAGGCTGGCTTTTTCCTCCCCCCCCCCACTTCTGGCTCCAACTGTGCCTCTGATCCATTTTGCCCCCTTTCCTCACCTGGGGCAGCCTGGCTTCTTGCCAGTGCCAGCGATGCCCAGAGGCCAGATCCGCCTCTCCGGGCTCCCGGGAGAAATGCTCCTCACAGTGGATCCACTCACGATCCTGCCTGCTCTTGGCTGATCCTAGCAACTGACCATGATGATGGCACCCTGCTCTGCTGCCCTGGGGATCTTTGCTGGAGAGGGAAAGTGAGGCAGAAAAGGCAAACGAGGGGTCATCCTGCGTTACAGCCCCAGGCACAGTGGGCAGCAGAGGGCTCCCAGGAGAGCCTCCTTTGGCTCATGTAGGTGTGCAGGGCTGGCCACCGCTGTTGGGACACACCGGTGGTGTCAAGAGCTGCAAAGCAGCCTGTTGTTCTTGTGTAGTCGTTTAGTCGTGTCCGACTCTTCGTGACCCCATGGACCAGAGCACGCCAGGCCCTCCTGTCTTCCACTGCCTCCCGGAGTCGGGTCAAAGTCATGTTGTGACCCTGTCCAACCATCTCGTCCCCTGTCGTCCCCTTCTCCTCTTGCCTTCACACTTTCTCCACATCAGGGTCTTTTCCAGGGAGTCTTCTCTTCTCATGAGATGGCCAAAGGATTGGAGCCTCAGCTTCAGGATCTGTCCTTCCAGGGAGCATTCATGGTTGATTTCCTTCAAAATGGATAGGTTTGTTCCCCTTGCAGTCCAGGGGACTCTCAAGAGTTTCCTCCAGCACCACAATTCAAAAGCATCAATTCTTTGGCGGTCAGCTTTCTTTATGGTCCAGCTCTCACCTCCATACATCACTACTGGAAAAACCCTAACCCTAACCCAGCCAGCCATTGTGTTTTCACAAAATTCTAGATGGTATTTTGGGGGACCCCAGAAGGCTGGAGGCCCATAAGAGAGAGGGAACCCCAGATCCCTGCCCTCGAGGACCAGTCACTGCTGCCACCTGTGCTCCTCTACCGCCAACAACCGCTCACCCCCGGCCACAGTGGTCAGCTTACTCCCTCCACACCCACCCACAGCCAAAGAGGCTGCCCAGGCTGCCGGGTGCTCACAGAGCAGGAGGTCCAGCCGGGCCCGGTCCTGCTCACGACCTTTCTTCCACAGCAGAGTCCTGCCCGGCTGCTGCAGGGTTTGGGGGCTGCCTTGTGGGCTGTGCTCAGGCATGCTGGCAGTGGGTCCCCCTGCCTTCTCTGGGCTTGAGGAGGGTGGCTGGCAAAGGGAGGGGGGTTGCCTGGCACCAGCCTAGCCTGGCCGTGGAGCTCCTCAGCCACCTGGCAGAAGGCAGGCGGGGGACACAGGAGTGCCCCCCCCCATCCACCTGGAGGCCTTCCTG